TCTATTAGGCATCCATTCCATTAAAGTGAAAGCACAGGATGTCAGTCTAAATGTTCAAAAGTATTTATCAAAATGCAACTGGTAATGGAGATATTTCAGGACTTTCTACTGCACAGTTCCTATTAATATATATGTTTAAATGAAGTTTTGTTGCCTAAAATTGCAAGGAGAAGCAGAAATCCAAGATTAAAAAAATACATTACTTTTTATTTTTTAAGTTTTTCTACTTTCAGACGAAATATGAAAATTTAAAACCTATCAAAATTCTTTGAAACAAAGGGAAATCTCCTTGGCTATTGTAAAAATGAGAGTTTAATTTTTAATATTTATTTATATGCAAATATTTGTATTTGCAATGCTAGGCTAAAAATAAATTAATAATTTTCAAAATGAAAACTGGAAAATACTGGAAAAAATCCATGCCGGACTTTTCAAAGCTCTCAGGCTTCTTTAAAAAAATAAATTAAATTTCTAGATAATTTATGGCCTTTTCCAGTTTTTAAGAAAATGATAATTTTCGGTGGAGAATTTTTTTCATGCAGTATTTCTCAGTAGCTTCAGTAATAACATAAACCTCGGTCTGTAGGAGTTGGATGAATCCTCCTTAACAGCTGTATGAGAGTATAATTTCCAGTATAAACTGAGAATTGGTGAAAAAGAAATCTTATTTCTGTCCAATTCCTTCCACTTGGAGGCACAGGAAGCCTTGAATGGGCAAAAATGGAATAATCCAGGCTGTAATGGCAGCACAGATGGGTGGTATTTAAGGCAAAACAAATTATTTTGGTTCTTCCACCTTGAGTTCTGAGCTGTGCCCCCAGGGCTGTCACCAAACCCTCTGGTGTGTCCTTCCTGCCTCTCTCAGTGTCACCCCAGAGCTGCAAGGTTTGAATTTCAGGTGTGCCTGCTGTTTTGGGGTTACCTGTGGCATTTGAACTCTTGGGTTGGTGTTTCTCTTTCCTCCTATGGAGGAAAAACTAACAAAAGGATTGGAAAAAGAATTGGAATTCCAAAAGGATTCTAAAACAACTGGAATCAACCAGCACCTGCTGCTGGCCTGGCTTGCCGTACCTCATGCCTTTGTTACCTTTTGGGTTTTGTCTTTTTTCTTTTTTAACTACAGGCTTGCACACTGGTGGGAAAAAGAGATCCCCAATCTTGCCAACTGGCACAACTTCTTATCAGATCCAGTTCTTTCTTCAGCTTGTTCAAAATGAAAGACTGATTCAGCCTGATGAAGAGAAGGCTCCAGATCTTCTAGCACCTTCCATTGCCTAAAGGTGCTACAAGAGAGCTGGACTTGTGGAAAGGGCATGGAGTGACAGGCCTTTGACATTTGTAAATGGCTTTATACTCCCAGAGTGCACTGTTACAGAATCACAGAAATTTCAGGGTTGGAAGGGACCTCTGGAGATGCTCCAGTCCAACCCCCTGTCAAGGCAGTGTCACCTGGAGCAGGTGGCACAGGAATGTGTCCAGGTGGGTTTGGATGTCTCCAGAGAGGGAGACTCCAGGGCCACCCCGGGCAGCTGTTCCAGTGCTCTGCCACCCTCAGCATAAAGAAATGCTTCCTCATGCTGAGGTGAAGCTCCTTGTTGTTTAGTTTATGGCCATGAGTCCTTGTTCTGTCATTGGGAACTAAAAGAAGTCTGGCACCATCCTGCAAGCCCTGCTTGGAAATATTTATATGGATTGATGAGATCCCTCCTATTCTCTTTTCCAGACTACAAAAGCCCAAATTCTAGAGTACCTCCTCATAAGGGGGATGCTCCAGACCCTTCATCATCTTTGTGGCCTCTGTTGGACCTTTTCCAGTAGCTCCTTGTTTAAATTGCACTGAGGAGCCTGGGTTAGATTTTAGGAGGAAATTCTATCCTGAGAGGGTGGGGAGGCCCTGGCACAGGTGCCCAGAGAAGCTGTGGCTGCTCCTGGATTCCTGGAAGTGCCCAAAGCCAGGTTGGATGGGGCTTGGAGCAACCTGGGATAGTGGGAGGTGTCCCTGCTGGATAGAGACGGGTTTTTGGGTCCCTTCCAACCAAACCATGCTGAGATTTCATGAAAACCCAGTAAGGAATGGCAGCAGTAAGCCATGGGCTGGTGAGGTGTGACTGCTTCCAAGAACCTGCTCAGTCTGACTCAGCTTGATGTTCTTACTGGCAGTTTATAGTAAGACATATAATTAAATCTGTATAATAGTTTCCCAATTCCCAGGAGAGTTTAAATGATAAGTTTAAAAGATGTAATTCCATCAGAATAAGAAATATTGAAGTGACTGTGAATTGTGAGGAGGAATTTTAGCACTGTGTGTTCCATCCACAATCATTACCCATGTCTGCATGCTATGCAGATAATGAAATCAAATCTCCCAAATAAAGAGCTAAGTGACCTGGGGAGAAAATGAAAAATCAGTCTTAGATGGGTGAATACTGAAGGTTTGCAAGGGAGCCTGCCTACCAATTGGGAAAAAAACCCCAAACTATTTATCTATAGTTGTATTTCTCATCACCAAAACACCTCTTGTAGGTTATTGTAGGCATGATATTTTCTGAAAAATCCTTTCCTTAGGATTTTTTCCTCCTGAGAAGCTGAGAGGCCTCAGGAACAAAATGTAAACAATGATTATCTGCTGCTGTTGAATGCAACAGGTGCATCTGTGATTGGTCTCATGTGGTTGTTTCTAATTAATGGCCAATCACAGTCAGCTGGCTCAGACTCTCTGTCTGGGACAGAAGCCTTTGTTATTCATTCTTTCTTTTTCTATTCTTAGCCAGCCTTCTGACGAAACCTTTTCTTCTATTCTTTTAGCATAGTTTTAATATATTATCTATCATAAAATAATAAATCAAGCCTTCTGAAACATGGAGTCAAATCCTCGTCTCTTCCCTCATCCTAAGACCCCTGTGAACACGGTCACAGGTTATCTAGCTTTATGGGTTAACTTTAAACATCCAAAGTCTGAAAAGCAAGCTTTAAAAGGGATTAATTAAGACAAAAGGCACGATGATATTCAAAGTTGGTTGTCTCTGTAATGATTTTGCCCAGAATAGAAAGACAAAAAAAGTGAGACTCTGTAACCTCCACTGCAGCTCATTTCCTCTGCATCTTCAGGCCTCTCTCCCCAGCCATCAAACCAAGCCCTCAGTGACACCCTCACATCCTGGAATTCAGCAGGGAGTGCACAGGCAGGTCTGGGCAGCCACACTCAGGTACTCTGCTGATTATATTCATGTGATGAAGCAGAGCATTGATCATGATTTACAGTCAGGATTCACATTGTTGAAAGCAGGCTCCATCTTCCTCTATGTTTGTGCAAAAGGCAGCACAATTATGATTTAATCTTGATTAGTTTACTAGCAACTGCCACAATTTAATAAACATTATACCTACGTGATTCACTTCCATAAATATCAGAAACTGCACTAAAAGCTTCATCTCCAAGCAGGAAAATACAATATCCGTGCTTCATGTTACCCACATCCAGAATTCCAACCTCTCTGAGGCTGAACATTCTATGAGGGGGAATACACATGAGAAGCACACAGCTTATTGAGACAGGTGCCATTTTTATATCACGTTTCCGAGTAAATTTGGCTTTAAGGATGAGTAATTCAGGCAACTGCTGAGAGCCTCACACAGAACTCACTCATGTGTTAGTCTGCTACTTCCTTGAAGCAGTGAGAACAGAGGTGGGAGGCAACACATGGTCCCAGCTCCACTGCAGAGCTGAGGATCAAACAAATTTGGAGGTCAGAACAGCAGAGATCTCTCTTCTGTCATTAGCTGAGCAGCAGATGTGAGGCCAGGCTTTATATAGGAGACTCGGTGATTCATATTGTCTCTAGGTCCACTGCAATGGGTTTATTTGGCAAAATAAGCTCTGACAAGATGATCTTCAAACACGCCTGCTAAAGGTTAGGAAGGAAGAGCTGAAATGAGCCGAGTTTCAGCAATGCAGAGCACTGATTTCAAAATGCCTACAGGGGCCACTCTCTCCAAAATTATCGTGCTGCAAATAGGTACCTGAAGATACATTTAAATCTTTACTTGGTTTGGCAGTTTTCTGGATTTGCGATCATTTTCAATGAGGCCAGGTAAAATTTTCATCATCATCATCATTATTATTATTTAAATTTTTACAAAAAATGTACAACTGGCATCATCTCAAAAGGAGAAAAAAGACCTAAAAAGAGGCAATATGTCCTGCCTTAACTTGCAGGTATAAAGAGAAACCTCTCCCTTTTGGTTGCCAATCTCCTTTCACTTCTTTCCCATCTCAAGCTTTTTGAATTAACCTTTCTTTCTTATCACAAAACACAATGATAAATGTAAGAGAAGAAAGCCAAAATCTATGGTTTAAACTAGGCTTTGCAGTTATTCATAAAATCATTGGATGGTTTGGGCTAGAAGGGGCATTTAAAGGTCATGGTTTATTTCCCTGTGCCAGGGTCAGGGCCATCCTCAATGAGACCAGGTTGCTCAGACCCATCCAATCTGGCCTTGAGTGTTTACAGGGATGGGACATCACCTCTCTGGCAAAATTGTTATTTATTATGACTTTCTGTATATTCACAGGATCTTTATTTAATACAGAACCTTGGAAGTTCTCTTTGAATATATTTTACTCTTACAATTTTTCATATTCTGCTCATCTTTCCTGTTACTCCAGTGAGAGTATTCAAATAAAACACAAATAAGCACATATGCCAGTGTTTTTATGACTGGGTTTTTGAGCTGCCAAGGCAGGGAAGGTCTGGACAATCTGCCTCCCCTCCCACATGGAAACACCATTGGGGGTTGCACTTGGAATGCATTTCCTTCTCCCTTTTTTTTTTTTGTCATGGGAAATGTTGCTACTTTCCTTAATGTCATGTGAAATTTAGGGCCATATTTAAATGAGGACACCAATTCTTTACACCTCCTCATGTGGAGAAACCAGCCTGAAGTTGGAAAACAATGATTTCCTTGGAAAATCGGGAAATATTATCACAATCAGGGCTCACCTGTCTCCGAAGGTCTCGTGTTTTCTTGGTCATCTTGTCAATGGCAATGTTGAGCGGGTCTCCTTTCTCCTTCCTTCCAGTCTGTTAAAAACACAAAATTTTAGAGTTAGAGAAAAATCCTCCAGGCAATATAAACTTAAAAAATAATGATAAGGATTCATCAAAGGAAATTATTGCAGCTGTTTTGTTTGCTACCATCAAGTTGTTATTTCCAAAGAAATGTTTTTAACATGTTTATGTGCAGGAGGCACAGAAGATTATTTTAGAACAATCCTAAAGTGATAAGAACAAAGATTAAGGTGACTCACCACAGAGTTCAGAACTTTTCCACCAATAAATTATGTGCATATATTATAGCTAATACTCAAAAAAAATCTGGCAAGACCTTTCACTATAAAATGAATATTAAGAGTTTCTAATCTCCATCCTGCCAAGCACTGGGAATGTTAAACATGATAATAAGCAGCAACACAGCTTGAGGACAGAAGGAAAATGGTCCCTATGCCTGTAACAGGAATCATATCGGCACACATTAGGTTCAGTATAAAGAAGAATTCCACTTAAAACACTTTCCTGCAGGAAGTCTCAAAGCAAAACTCCTCACCAAGATTAAAAAGGGGGAAAAAAGCCTTTTGTGTCTCATAAGCAATGGGGGAAAAATATGGTTTGCAGGTTCAATGGCACAAAAAGCATTAAGTGACTTTGTTAGCTGTATTACCTTTCTCTTAAGAGAAAACTACTTCTCTGAAGATTTGTCACATCTTTTGCACATTGAACTCTGTTTGAAAGCTTTTCATCAAGAACCAAAATGATCTTCCATTCTTTCTGGCAGTACTCTTTTCCTTCCCAAGGCTGTTTTCAAATGCTTCTATTTAGAATTGTTCCTTGCATATGATTAAGGGCGATTTTCTCCCTCCAGCTGAGCCTAATAGCACACGTTTCTGGGAGCTATTGAGAAGTCACTTTTGGGGTGGGATGGGGATTAAAGACAACCTTTCAATGATACCCTCTCACATGTACAGCACAGTTATCAGCCCTACATTGGCAAGGGGCCTCTGTTCCAGTCTTTGCTTTAGGCATTCAATCCAGGGAACGCCTGCTTTCTGTTACTGCCTGTAATTCTAATTATGACACGAGGCCAAAGCTTTTATGATCATTTAAAAATCTGTAAAAACCCTCCCCTTCCTTTTGTTTAGAAATTCAAACATAACAATATCAAGTGCCACCAGAATTTAATACAAAACATAAATTTACCTCTTAGCTTTCTAAAAAGGATCCATTACAAAATCTGGAGTTATTCACACAAATTGACACCAGAAAAAAGGGAGAGAAAGCATTTGCTATCACATCTGTGTCACCCACTGATATTTTTATCTCACTTTTCTTGTGCTCATCCTTTGACTGAGTTCTTCTGGTCCCCAGCTGAAGAACCTCATCTCTTTAGCCTGAGCAAGGCCAGCACAGGCTTTTGGTTTTAGATGTCCCAAATTCAGTCCCTGGTATTTTGTTCAAGACAGCAGGTGTCGTATGTGCACACAATCGAGCCTGTTTTTCAAGATGAAGTTTCACAATAAAGCTGAGGCAGAAAAGTTTGGTTCAGGCAGACTCTCCTGGAATGGGACAGCAGGGACTGCCAGATGAGCCAGCCTCAGCCAGGGTCTGGTTGTTAGAATACAGAGATATAGTCCAAGAAAACTTAGAAAAAAAGAAAATTGCCCCAGCTGTGAGCTGCACAGTTGCTGAACCAAGTTTCCTTGGTGACATTCATGTTCTGGGATGCTCTATTTTCCCAGTCAAACAATTCAATTTATCTAATATTCTTTAAATTCTTCTCATTGTTTAAGCTTTAATGGACTGGCTTAGAAAGATCCATAACCACAGAAGACATGTTAAGATTTTTTTTTTTTTTTTTTTTTTTTAGGGCAAAGACAATCTTTGTTTGGCACTTTTTCTTACCCTATTTTAAATAAAATCAGGGAATAATTTGGTAAACAGGCCAAAATTCCTGTGAGATTAGCCCAATAAGAACTAACACCAAGACACTTAAGTCTACACAGGGATGGTATTTTAAAACAAGTAGTTCACAATTCCCCTTCACCGACCTCATGCAGGGCACATATATTTTGCATTCACCGCCAACATGGTGAGGTCAAGGAATTAATGCCTGGCACCCACTTAGGGGGTCAGAAAGTTGTCCTTGAGCAGGAACTTGGGAATCCTTCCAGGGTAGTCAGCTATGGGATACAGTGACACTAACTAAATTAAGCATTTGATAAACTGCACCATTTAGAGGAAAAGACTCCTGGGTGTTAGCAAAAAAAGTAGAAATTTTGAGTTTGACCTCAAAGTTGGTAATTTAGGTTCCTAATCTGGGTGGTTTTCTGTCTCATAGGTGAGAATTCTCACTGAGAGCAGGCTCATGGCAGCTTAAATCTCGCACCCCTCCTAAACCTCCCTTCAAATCTATCTGATAACTCTTCAACTCCAGTTTTAAATAAACATTGTTTATATAAACAGTGGCCCTTAAGGTACATCCTATTGTGAAACACAAAACAACTGGGAACCCTTCTGTGACCCTTAGGCCACACAACACAAACTGTCCACATCCATCTGGCCAGTCCCTTCTCCTTTTAAAGCAGAGCAAAGCTCGTTCCACATTTCTGTGTGCAAATGCCCAAATTGTGCCTCAATGCTGCCTGAGATGCTAAATGGGATGTGCTGGAAAACTAAACCAAAACAAGAGATCCAGCTGAGCTCTCTCAATAGCAGTATTTCATTAACTCACACAAATATGGCTGAAATCTCCCATTCTGCACCATTTTTATTTGTGCAGGAATTTTAACTGACCTTCACCTGTTACTTATAAAATGGCCTTTTAGTCTGTATACAAACCCCCTTTCGCAGCATATGATTTCAAAGAAATTTGTTTAGTAAATCACATTATTGAAAAATAACTAGCATGGCATGTGATGCTACATAGCTTCAGGCAGGTCTGTCAAACACCATCTGCTCTGTGCTGAATATATAAGTTTATTAAAGTTTATTTATTTAAGTCCTTAAATACTCTTATTTTATTGTTGCTCTGTGATAAATTTTTGGCCTTCATTCCTAGAAGGGATAGAAAGGAATTTATTGGTTTCCTGAAAAAATGAAAAAGCTTGGTATTGAGCCATTTGCCATTTCTCTGTTAATCTTTCTCTGCAAAGAGAAGAAAGATACTTTGGGATGAAAAGGAAGTAAAAATTGCTGCTGGCATTGGGTTAAAAGGAGAAGGAGGAGAAATGCACAGAATTCCTTGAATGCCAAAATATCTGTATTCAAGTTCCTATGGACAGAATTACATTCATTCATGGTGTAATGAGGAGAACTTTGCAACAGGAGAATGTATTAATCAAGTCCCTGATTTCTTGTGACCATTGACAGCATTTACATACTCGAGATATTTTCAAACAATTTTCTGAGTCTGAGTTGCTTCCATTCTAATTTCCTTAGAGCTCTTCCCTGCCCATCTGATTTATTTTCATTTCAGGAGGAGCCAATTCCCAAAGGCTCAGACCAGGGGCTGTGCTGGCTGTAGATTGCCCCAGATCACGAGAGGATCTTCCACTGCATTTCTACCCCAAGGCTGCGGGCCCCTCAATGTCAGACCCAGCTCCCTGAATATAATATTCAAGAGTTTTTAAGCCTGATTTGCCACCTGACATGAGAAGTTGTGTAGTTTCCCAACACAACCATGTCTGGTAGTGGAAGAATTTGAGGTACTGACTGTTCTGCTACTCCAGAAAATGCCTACAGTCTCAACCAGTGCCAACAGAATTATCTGAACAATAAAGAAAGAACACAGAAATTTATATCAAACAAAGTCTGAAAAACCTTACAGGTAAAACTGCATGGTATTAAGGCTAGAATTTATTTATAAAGGGAAATTTAATTTCATTTGGTTAGGAAATTAAATCAAAGAAGAGCAAAATGCACTTTAGGACAGTGAGAAATTTCAGTATCTGCTGAATGACGGAAAGATCCCTGCTAAGGTACAGCACTGGTTTTCCTTCTTACAAAGACCTTTCCCTCTCCTTCCATTTTTACTTTTTACACTTTAAACTGTTAGAATAAAATATTAAACTCCCAAAATACGTATCACAACTATTAAGGACATTTACATCCCACAATTTACTCATTACAGAACTCTCCTGATCAGCATGAGGTACTTAACAGGACATTGCTCTACCCCTAGAGAATTCACAGAACCAAGACAAGGACAGTCAGGACAATCAGCCCAGGGACTCAGTGCATTTTAGATGAGATATGCTCAACCTTGGAAGAAGGTGCTCCAGACTGGAACTGTGTTGTTGGTTTTTCATAATTCCAAATACACCACTAATGAGGAAATCACAGAGCTCAAATTTCAGTGGATGAAACAGATGAAATTCCTACTACCAAAATCATTATGATAAGGACAGATGTTATTGTAATGAATATATTTGCATTGAAAAGTTAGGATCACCTAGAGATGTTGGAGAAGCAAAGCCAATACTTTGAGCACTTTATTATTAAAAAATGCCAGATGAATAAGGTTGACAATGGTAAACTATAAAAGAAGGGGATGGAATGCAAAGAAATACACAAAAAGTGGAGCAACTGCAGGCTACAAAATAATATCATAGACAAAACTCCAAAGTGTATCACAACTAAAGGAGTGATTGCTAGAGAACATTATTTTCCTTTAAAGTTTGCAATTTAGAAGCTCAGGGTTTCAATTAAACAGCAACAATATTAACAACAATACATCTATGTAAGATGTTTTGAAACCACCATTTTATGACATTCCTCTTTTTTCTCTGCTTCTTCAGATGTAAGCCAAAATATCTGGGAGAGTCAATCTCCTCAAACATCATGGTGCATGTCCAACTCACCTTCACTACAGTTTTCAAGTAATTTAGCCTCCAGGAGACAGCTGGAAAGATTATCTATTGATCCAAAAGCTACCAAACACTGATCTATTTTTATATTTTCATCATCCCCTAGGTAGAGGGCTCCATTATTTACAGGTTATTCAGAACTTCAATATCACAATGTTTTAT